TATATACCTTAGTAAATCAGATAACCTTGATTGAAAAATATTCCTGCAATTGATTTTCGGGTAAACGAGATCTCAGAGTAATAGAAGATTGGACGTGGACGAACCTAAAATCAACAATTAGTCAGTACTTACTTCTTTCCAGAACAAAACTATTATATGTACATGTTACATGCATGTGTATAATTGCAAGCAAATGTATAATTATTTATAATGATAACGCACTTTAAAATACAATGAACTTGTGTAGCTGCCTGCAATGCGGGCATAATAGAAGTATAAACAATGACGGTGAGATTGACGATTAGTAGTGAGAGGACAAAGGTGACAAGAGCGGTAAGCAACAGCAAGAGGAAACCGTATCAGACAGGCGGTGTGTAGGTTGTACGTCACTATACGTCAAAATGGCTGAGCTTATCGCGATACCTCTGAAGAAACCTTCCGATGTGGATATAACAAAACCGCTTACTAATGTCATCAAATCGACATACAACAGCCCGGGAAGTCAGAAAGACTATACGGAAGCTATCTCGGAATTCAGTAAGCTGAGAAATAACGCACTGTGGCGAGCATTCGAGAAATACGAAAGTTCCTTGCAGGTTATCTACAGGTATGAGTCATTTTTATTCGACGATTATTTCGAGCGTACTTATGTGCGACAATTACTGTGATGTCACCGACTGTCATGATCCTTTAAATCACTCAATGGACCAGATATTGCGTTTACTAATTGTACATGTCTGATGAATCGCACACTCAAATCCGCATCGGCGATACTCAGAATATAGAATATTCCGAATCCTTTCTTTTTTCTCTCCGTTTTACTCGATTACATGTGATTTTATTCGTAGCTATTACGATCAATTGTGCGCTTTGGAAGGAAAAATCCCCGCTCATGAATTGCAAATACCATTCAAGTGGAAAGATGCCTTTGATCGTACAATTTTTGGAGGAAAACTTAGCTTAAGTAAGTCTTGCAAGATGAAATATTTTTATCTTGTTTTAACTTAAATCTTACCATGAAATTTGCATTATTTGAGAATCTGCAACAAGAAAACATTACACAAGAATTTTAAATTTATTTTTTAATCTTTAAATCAAGAACTTACAATAGAATAACAGATAAGATAAAGCAGTTTAGATTTTACTTAAGTCAACAGTCAAGATATATTTATAACGATATAACGCAACTTGTAATGTTATTGTACACAGCAATCAGTACATTAGCTTATGAGAAAGTATGTGTGCTCTTCAATATCGCCGCTTTACAAAGCTCAGTGGCTGCTACACAATCGTTAGACAGCGACGAAGGGTTAAAGCTGGCAGCTAAATTATTTCAGGTTTGTTTTTATTTTCATATATTATTATTTCATATCTATTTTTGTGCGCATAATCGTTTCATTCTCTTGCAGCAATCAGCTGGAATATTTAATTATTTGAAAGGAAATGTTATGATGGCGATTCAACAAGAACCAACACCTGATATTAGCCCAGAAACGCTTGGAGCATTGAGCGCATTAATGCTTGCACAAGCACAAGAAATATTTGTGCACAAAGCGATCCACGATTCTATGAAAGATGGAATTGTTGCTAGATTAGCAGCGCAAGCAGAGGAATTGTATGCGGATGCTTTGAAACTATTTCAGAAAGAAATCTTCCGCGCATTTTGGGATAAAGAATGGGTGCCTTTGGTCAGTATATTAGAAAAATTCATCATTTTTGTATTTCCATACGGATCATTGTCATAGATAAATGTTATTACAGATAGCAGGTAAACAAGCTGGTTATCGTGCCATGGCGGAATATTATCAATCGCTTGTGTGTAAGAACAATAAATCGATCGGAGAAGAAATTGCCAGACTAGAGGTAATTGCAAGTAAATTGTCTATTATGCAAATTTATACTTCAAATATCTATAATGACACATTCATATTTTCAGCATGCCGTTGAATTGTTCAAAGCCGCACAGCAGAGATCGAATAAGCCGAGCTTATTCCAAGATTACTCCAACAAGGCGCAGAGAAATCTAACGGAGGTGAAAAAGGATAATGATTTTATATATCACGAAAGGATTCCAGACATGAAGAATGTAGCAGCTATAGGAAAAGCTAATGTAGCTAAATTACTCCCGCTTCCTGAAACGTTCAGTTCTGATTTTAAAGGTTTCCCATTTTTTATGAATTTTTTTATGAGAAAAGGAAGGTTTTTTCTTCCAAATATTAAATATGTTATTGTGTGTTTATAGATTTGTTTGTCGAACTGTTGCCTGTCACTATACACCATGCATTGTCGTCCTACGAGAATCGTCGTAATGAACTTGTCAATTACGAAGTCTCCAATCTTCGTGAAATGACGCAACTTTTAAACAGGTAAAATATACATAAAAGAGCATAATTTATCATTGAAGTTCTATATTAAATTTCTTTATTATACGCAGCGTTTTGGCAAGCTTGAATCTACCTGCAGCTATCGAAGATACAAGTGGAACAGAAATACCTCAGTCGCTATTGGATAAAGCTCTTTACGTGCGAGATGCAGGTGGAATAAGTGCTTTGGAAACATCCATGATAGAACTGCCAGATTTATTGCAACGTAATAAAGAGCTTTTGGACGAGGTAAAAATATTGAATATCTTTTTTGAACCTTAGACTGTTATATAATATTTTGTATTATATACTATTATATAATATATATTTATAGTCTGAGAGAATGCTGCAAGAAGAGCGTGATTCTGATAACCAGCTAAGAGAGCAATTCAAAGAACGCTGGAAGCGGACACCTAGTGCTCGATTGACAGAACAATTTACCAGCAATTTACAAAAATATCGTGAAATTATTAACAACGCAGTTTCTGCAGATAAGGTAAAGATATTTTGAAAAAAAAAAAAACTATTAATCTGCATTTTTATGAATATTCTAATATACCCACGTACACAGGTGGTTCGTGAAAAATACGAAAACCATAAAGAAGGAATGGAAATCTTAAGTTTGGATGAAGATGAACTCGCTAGAGCTGTTCCGAAAGGTTCGGCTGTTCAAGAAAGTAGCGTCGTTAGGCAGCTCAGAAAATTAATGGATGATGTAAGTGGAAAACACAAGAACGATACAACAAATGTATTCGTGTGCATTTTAACTAGAATATGTTTTTTTAGGTAGAAGCATTGAAAGCTGAACGAGATGTTATCGAGAGTGAATTCAAATCCGCCACCAATGACATGAAAGCGACATTTCTCTCGGCACTTGCCAAAGATGGTGCGGTCGATGAACCAAATTTATCTGTCGAGAGCTTGGGAAAGTGTTACGGGCCCTTGCAGAAACAAGTGCGAGAAAGTATAGCGCGTCAAGAAAAATTAGTTGCTGAAATACAGGTATGAGACTTTTGTAAGAGAGACTATTATTTTTATAAAGAGCAAGTGGAGGAAGAGATTTAAAGATTTGATTGATACTTTCAGAACTGCCACACGGAATTTACAAACGAACAGGCTGGTACTGGCAGTGCGCGCGAAACGATACTCTGCAAACTAGCCTCCGCTTACGACGCATTTAAAGAGCTGAAAAATAACTTAACAGAAGGGGCTAAGTTTTACAACGATTTAACGCAGGTATATTTAAATTTAACAACTTGTTAACCTTTTTTCGTTGTTGGCCATCGTTGAAACGAATTATTCCTCTCGACAGTTACTGGTGGTCTTCCAAAACAAGATATCCGACTTCTGCTTCGCTCGTAAAACTGAAAAGGAAGAATTATTGAAAGATCTAACAACGAACCTGAGTCACAGCGGTCCCGCTGCAACGCCGAACATTCCGTCACATCACAGCAGCGGTACGAATCCAACATTAATCGGTTTCGTTAACATTTCTTCCGATCGTCCAACGAGATCAATCGAAGCGATCGTCTGTTAAGCTAATTTGAGAGAATGCTTGTCGTGTGCGGAATGATTTGCAGACATAAATATCAAAGTCTTTATTTAAAGGACCATCCGGTACAAACCAGCCGGCGGAAGCCGCCGCGACATCGCCGCCGCTGCCCTATCCCATGCAACATCAAGGTAACATGCCTATGCCTTATGCTACTGCGCCAGGAACACCGTATCCAGCGTATGTTCCTCCACCGATGCCGGCGACGTATAATCCGTATGCTACGATGCCGTATCCTCCGCAAGGTAATAGATTTTTCTTTACACAATACATTCGAAAGATATATCTTGCGACTCGTGGTCTCTAGGTGGATACAATCCGTACCAGCCTATGCCTCAAGTTCCGTATGGAGGCTACGCGACATTACCACGTTACGGCGGCGCTCAACCACCGCACGGTCAACACCCATGGTGAACGATACCAGGCGAAACAGCTACAGCGCGCGTGTGACTTTGCGCCGGATCTGCAGATCGCATGTTAATTGAAATAATATTTTATACACAAATTTTAAAAGCCTGCAATTATTCAATATTCAGAAATGTTGTGTATAATCCGAGAAAATTCACGTTTACTAATCGTTAATATGTATCACCGCAATGTGAAATCTAGTAGATTGATCGTTGGTATTTGTTAAGCTTTAATCCGCTTTGCGTAGGGAGCTTATTATCAATTTATAAATATATTTTGTAAAATAAGCCGAGAGAGTGTATATATAAATTATTTCCACTATAAATCCCTGGAATGTTACGAAGTCTTGCAATTCGTTATATTCATGCTTATTGATATCACTTATCTTTATTTCTAAGCATCATGTTACTGTTATCAATGAATCAATTCATACAATGGAATTCAATACATTAGATAGCGTCGTTGGATTAGAAAAAAATTCTTCTCGCTAACAGATAACAATTGTTACGGATATTCGCATAAATAGGGGTACAAGCAATTTATTTATTACAACTTTATATGAGCTCTGTATATAAAATATTACTTGAAGAATAATTTTTTGACCATTGATTTTTTTTCATCACTAATTCAAGATCCAATTCGGTCGTAACCTAGCTAGTTATGTAAAATAGAATGATTTGAAATCTGAAAAGAATATTAGAAATGTTCAAGAGAAAAATATTTCAAGAATCTTGTTTAAGCAACATCCAACATTCGATTCAACACGAATAGTTTCAGTAAAGAGGTAGAGCAAATTTGAAGTATAAATACTCCCATATATAAGAGTGTTCGAATGTAAATCTCTTATTATACATTTCAATGATAGAACATGTGCACTAATCACAAATAAGTGATCGAAAAGAAGTAACTACCGTTTCCAGCATTGCCATAGCCATAAATTCACAAATTAATAACACGTGATTTTATCGATAGCATAATAGTATAATTTTTCTCGTGCTCGACAGTGAACGATGGAAAGAAAGAACGTGAGAGATTAATCTTTGGAGTGTTGGCTGCTAGAGCTGCTTGATCGCGAGCGGCGCTTAAACTTCGGCTGGCTCGAATCAGATATGTTGTCGTTTCTCTTATTCTTGTTTTTTTCGTAGCGGGAGTTGATTTCGTTGTCCTGGTGGGAATTAGAGTTATTCACACGTCTGTCGTTGCGCTTGTCATAGTGCCTGTAATTATCTCTTCCGTATCGATTACCTCTGTAAGAGTCTCGTCGACGGGGAGAATAATTTCTCCGATTTCTTCTGTCACGATCGTAGTCTCTCTCTCTAGATCGTCGGCGATCCCTCGATCGAGAGCGTCCACGTCTCCTGCTCCTGTCTCTTGAATTACGCCGGGAATTTCTATCATTGTAGGATCGATTGGTGTCACGTCTGAATGATCTCTCGTTTTTACTGTGCTTCATGTCATCTTTGTTCGGCGTAACAACGTCACTCCCTTCTATATTTCTTTTCGCATTATCATCCTGTACTTTATTCATAGCTGCTGTCTCATCTGTCTGATCGTTTTCTTTGTTCTCCAGTAACTCCGTCGTGTATATATTATCTAGATTATCTGGCACTTGATTGTTATCATCAGAATTATCTCCAAACTTTTTGACTTTGTCATCGTCGCGTTGTTTGAACTCTTCTTCCTTCTTGAGACGTTCTTTTTCTATTTTCTGTAATATAAAATCGCAGTACATATACAAGCGAGGAATAACAATATTTATATCATGTCATGTCTTAACGCGTGTATACGACATACCTGAAATTCGTGCAATTTAATAGTACGGTTTTGAGCTTGCTTCCAATGAGGTGGTGTTACACTTCTGGAACGACTCCGAGAAGGAGTATGATATCTCTAGAAAGTTATGTAAAATATATATTTGCAATTAAATTCGTAATGAAATAAATACGACAAACCAGGAATAAAATTCAATATTTCTGCCTTATTGTTCATTCAATATATATGATTAATGCATTAAACAGCCGGTTATAAGACAGTAGTACGTATATTGCTGTTCGCAAAGATCAGAATAAGTCAGCCGTACAATACGACTTGAGGTTCAGATTTTTGTGAACAGTATGATATATTTTTTGTAACATTGGTGTAATCACTTACAAATATTCCTCTACCCTTAAAAATACGACCAGTCTTCCGATGAGATCGTATACGATCTCTTCCGTAATGCTGTCTAAATTCCTTTTGATTTGCATTATTAGTCGATCCTGCTCTATATAAAAATTTGTTTGCTGGTACTTCCGGAATTTCATCGGGATCAATTTTGGTAACAGACACTAGCGGATGAGGTTGTCCGCTGTCCTCTTCGTTAGAATCTCGTATTTCGCCGTCTTCCGACCTCGTTCTTTTTTTGCTGGATCAATACATTGGAATTGCATTACGTAATTTATAAATATTCGTAAAAACTTGTATTCTTATTTGCCGATGTACCTCTTCTTGCTCTTCTTTTTCTTCTTTGCCTTGTCGGTGTAAGAATCAGAGTCGGAATCCGCTGAACTACTTTGTTTTGCTTCTCGTTTTTTCGCTGTGAATATAAATATAGTGATGTGTTTACCGGAAAATTATGACTTTCGATTTATATTTGTAACAGATAGCAATTATACCTTTATTTTTGATCTTCAAAACCAATTCGCCACAGTTTACAACCTTGGCATCTTGCAATGGACGTGACATACGGTCTACGGGGAGTCCTTCAATATGTGTAACGATTTCTTGCCCAGACACTACTTCTCCAAAAACCACATGGACACTAAAAACAAAATAAAAAATTTTATATAGTTAAATAGACTTATATAGTTAAACTTTTGAACCAACTGGACTCAAGTCGTGT